TAAAGCCATGGTGTTATGTTGAGCTCCAGGGGACTCAGGTCAACAATTTCTGACATTGTCAGTGAAGCAGAAGATCCAATACTATTATGGACCTCTGAACTCTTTTAGAATATTTTGCTGAGTTTACACACCTATAATATTCAAATAACGGAACTTAACCAAAAAAGGAGATACAGATGAATGTCCATTTTGTATCTGTGTATTCAAAGTGGTTAGGATAGATATATAGTTACATTCTCTTAATGAATAGAGAGATTTGTTCTAATAGTGTTTGTAAATAGGATATCATGTCTGCATCTTTCACAGCAATTAACCACTATGAAGAATGTATGCAATGTGTTAATTATTGAATCTATCTTACCAATTTGGTTTGAAAGTGTCTCATTGCTATTTGTTTCTCAATAAAATTATGGAAAAAATAAATAAAAATAAAATGGAAAAAATACTAAAAAAAAATGAAGTGTTCCCCCAAAATTCAAGTAGATGGGCAGTAACTTCATCAAATAACCTCCTCAATGGATCAATCTATCAATGAGTTCATAGTTGAGGTAGGGCCCAATTGCAGAAATTAGGTTGCTAGAAATATGCCTTTTTTTTTTTTTTTTATTTTGAAATATGCCTTTGAAAGGCCTCTGCCCCCTCCTGTCTCTTTGGTTTTGCCTTCTTTGTCTCTTTTTGTTGGTTGCCATGAAGTGAGCAGATTTCCTCAACCATGTTTCTGCCTTAGAGGTAGCTAACCATGCACTAAAAGCTCTAGAACCGTGACACAACAACATAAACCTTTTCTCTTTTAAATCATATATTGCAAGTATTTTGTTCCAAAACAGAAAGATGATTGTAATGGTTGATATACAACTATCAAGTTGAGAAGTTTAAAAGTTAAACAACTCAGCAAGGAGCCAGGATCCTTACTTTGTAAACTTCCTAAGTTTGTGCAAGAGGAGGGCATGGAAATGGTATGGGTGGATGGCCTGCATACAATATTATGGAGGAAAAGAAGCTTGTCCCCCTCTTTTGATCTTGTTACTCTGCTGTGCCTTACAGAGGTGCCCCTGTGCCATGCCACCCTGCCTTGGAGTCAGCTGATTGTCAACTGACACCTCCACAAACTGTGAACTAAATAAACATTTTGTTCCTTAATTTTAGGCATCAGATATTTTGTCTCAATAACAAGAGAAAAGTAACTAATGATGCTTAATACAGAAATCCCATCTTACATCTTGAAGACACATTAGTTATAATGGCTACCATTAATAAACACATATTACATATAAGACACTATGGTATGAGCTTTACATTCATTATTTATATAATCTTCATACTACTATCAGCGGCCAATAAATTGTTACTTTCATTATGATGGAGAAAGTAGGCTGGGGATATAGCTCAGTGCCGTAAGTGCCTGCAAGTGCAAGGTCCTGAGTTCAATCCCTGGTACCGCCAAAAAAAAAAAAAAAAAAAGGAGAAAGTAAAGGTAAAATAACTTTCTCACCTTCACCCTTCTAGTAAAGAGCAGACCTGACATTTGATCAAAGCCTGTGGTTTTTGGTTTGTTTGACTCAGGATCTTACTATAGTTCAGGCTTGTCCTGAATTCATTATGCAGCATAGGCTAGCCTCAAATGTGTGGAGATCATCCTGCCTCAGCCTCCTTAGTGCTTGTTACAAGCATGCACTGTGTCTAGAAAAGCCTATGATTTTAACTGCTGCCTTTGAATTCTAAAACCGAGGCACACAAAATCCAATCAGTCTTCAACTCTAAGATACTTAAGTCATATATCTTTCTGTTTCTAAAGTTTTCCTAATGTAAAATAAGAACAATACCTATTTCTTCATTATGAGGACTCAAAACTATATATATATAGTATTTTACTTGAGAGCTAAAAGAACCACGGCCAAAATGGTGTACCAGAATGTTCATGACAATTTTATTTACATAGCCAAAAAGTGGAAAGTACCCATATGTCCATCAGTTAGTCAATAGATAAACAAAGTTTTTTTTTAATGAATATTGTTCAGTCATAAAATGTAATGAAGTACTGATCCACAGATGAACCTTGCAAATGTAATGCTAAGTGAAAGAAACCCTGCATAAAGGCCACAAATGATATGATGTTGCTTATATGAAATATCCAGAATAAGCACATGTATAGAGACAGAAGGTAGATTAGTGGTTGCCAGGAATTACAGGGCATGGGGTCTGGGGTTATAAGGAATGAAAACAGACTGCTAATGGGTACAGGGCTTATTTGGGGGGGGGAAGGTGAAGTATTCTCTAGTTAGATAGTGGTAATGACTATCCGATCATAAAAATGCAATAAATATCACTGAATTATATACATTAGAAGGTAAATTTTATAGTATGTTAATTATGTCACTAAAACTGTATTCTTGGAGGACATGGAAGCCAAAGGAAGTAAATGTAAAAATAGTTTTAGAAAAATATAATCACAGAAATATACTTCATGCTTATAAAAACATTATATAAACTGTATAAAAACCATGGACTTCTCAGCGGCTGGCCAGATAGCTCAGCGGACTAATGTGCCTGCTTAGCCAGAGGGCAGCGGCCAGGGTTTGATCCCTGGTGTGCTGGCTCTGCCTCTGAGGGGCACGCTGAGGCAGTGATTGAGACTGGGCATGGTGGCGCATACCTGTAATCCCAGTGCTTGGGAGGCTGGAAACAGGAGGATCGATACGAGTCCGATTTATGTAGTGAGACCCTGTAAACCCTGTATCAAATACATTATATATATAAAAAAAAGCATGGACTTCTAGTATCTCTGGTGGTTGCTCGTTTGTCCTAGGTCCTAGAAGAATCTTAATTCATTTCAAAACACTTAACTCCACTAGCCCTGAATACCCAGTAATAAAATGCAAACTAAACTTGCTGATGAAAACCCCAGGGAGGGGCCGGGGAGATGGCTCAGTAGAGTAAGCGCTTCCTTGGCAAAGGCAAGGGCATGAGTTCAATCCCCAGTTCCACATTAAAAAAAAAAAAAAAAAAAAAAGAAAGAAAGAAAAAGAAAAAACAAAAGGAAACCCTAGGGACATGGCCTGCCTAAAATGAAAAAGGGAAAAAAAGCCACAAAACCATCCAGGGCCTATATTCAAGCCCAGAGAAGATAACATTTTCACTAGATCTAGATTCTTGTTATCTTCTTATATTCTCTTGGAAGTACCTTATCAAGATTGTCTATAGTGAAACTAGGTAAATGAAACAACTATAAAACTATTGTTTTAGTAAACATAACATTAAAACAATCCTTACCTTTAGTTGCTGCTCATCTTAAATGCATTGTCTCATTTTTCATTGAGAGTGCTTGCATTTCAAAAGTGCTTGCATTCATTTCAAATTCTTACACCCATTTTAAAGGAAACCAAGGCATGAACAAGGTCATCCAGTTAATGACAAAGAATCAATTCCCAGCTTTGGGTTTTTTTTTCTGTATGTCATGCTCATGCAGAGGCCATGCTAATTTTCTCTGTTTCATTCCAATTTTAGTATATGTGCTGCCAAAGTGAGCACTTTTTTTTTTTTTTTAACCTATTATGTTAGTATTTGTTTTCTCTTTTCATCCATCTTGGTCACCTGTTACTCACCAGCTTAAAAAGCAAGGTTAAGCCTGCATGTATAACATGAATTTAGTTCCCAAGAAATCTTAATCTTCCCTTTGATTGTTCTGATTTGTTGTATTCATTTCACAAATTTCCATGAGAAACTTTATCAGAGTTGCATTAAATGTTTCTGAATAAGTCAATCTGGCCAGACCTCTCTGGTTAATCTTTCATGAAAAATAAAGGACTCAAAACTCTTAAAATTTTTAAAAGGATAGAAATTCCCTTCCTAGTTGTTGAAAAAGGTTTTAAAGCTGATTCAGAAACACTGACCCCATGAACTGAAGTTTTTTTTTCTTCTCATCAGATCAGATTCTCTAGATGGGAAATCTATAGGCAAGATGTTTAGCAAGTTTTGGAATCCTCACTTGTCACATGCATTGTCTGGAAACTCACTATTTTCTAAGTTATTAGCATTATGTTTTAAATTTTTCCTTCTCCTTTCCCCACTGATAGGATTTACTTCACACTTTCTTATGAGGCATGAAGTTTTCACCTATCTCAGAATACCAGCTGTAAGCAACTACAATACATAAAAGTAAAGTAACCTCATACACTGTAGATTCAGGAATTTGCCATATGGCTGCCCTACCTAAGTCATTCTCCAAGTACCAATACTAACCAGACAGACCAGGCAGTGCTCATCTAAGAATAGTAGTGATTAGGGATAAGGGAAGTTCTTTTCTCTCTGGTAATTGAAGAGTCAGTAGTTTTATTTTCAACACTCAAGAAAGATCAAGGTAAAATAATAAATGTAGGACTTAATTTTCAAAAGTAGGTGGCTTTATAGAGCAAGGCATTAGTACCATTACGCAATTTATTGAAAAGATGTGTTCTTTTAGATTTCTGCCCATTTAACCCCGATCTCCTTCTTATAGTCTTGACCTTGGTTACTTAATTCTTTCATGATGCCGCTCTATAAAAGTTGAAGTAAAGAATTTTTACTTGTTGTAAAACAAAATTTAAAGGCACATACTTTTTATAGTTTACAGATGCATAATCAATGAAAATCATTTGCTCTAGATAATTCCTTAAGCTTTTCAGTTTAGAGACAACATTGTTGATATTTAAACTAAATAAACAGAATTTGACCAGATGACAGACTTTCTCTAGATAAAGGAAGCACAGGCTTTTGAGCTATAAATCGTAACAAAAATTATTAAGCATTAAGGCACATGCCTGTAATCCCAGCACTTGGGTGGCCGAGACAGTAGGACTAGGGTACACAGCAAGCTTAAGATCAGCCTGAGACCCTCTCTCAAACTCAGGGCCTTGTACATGCATGCAAGGCAAGAATCTGACCACTGAGCAACACCCCTGGCATTATACAGAAGCTTTTTTCAAATCTTAATATTTTACATAAATTCTTAACTTGTGACTCACCCTGCTCAGTTGATCCAGTAACCTTTGGTTCTGTTCTGACAGTTCCTGGACAGCCCGTGTTTTTTCTCGATCTGCCTCCCGAAGATGAACCTGCTGCCTCTCCAATTCATCTTGTAGCTGTTTCACATCACTCTCAAGCTCGGACACTCGCCCTTCCCACTCTCCTTCTCTGTTCTCAAATCGTCTTCTTAGCTCATGTTTCTCTTGTTCTAAGTGCTGGGTGAAAAGTGAAAAGGATTTAAAAACTATTAAAAATTCCATGAAATTGGGAGTGGTAGCACATGCCTGTAATCCCAGTGGTGGGGTGGCCGGGACAAGAGGATCACTACGAGTCCAAGCTGCATAGCGAGACCCTGTACCAAGTAAATAAAATAAATAAAATGTTGTTTGTTTTTTGCGGAACCGGGGATTGAACTCAGACCCTTATGCTTGCCAGGGAAGATCTTCTACTGAGCCATCTCTCTGGCCCCTAAAATGTTTTAAAAATTCCACGGACTTTTGTTTTTTTTTTCCTTTCTACCCTCTCCTTTTATTCCCCACTGAAACAAAAAAACATTCTCCCATACAGGACAAGTTGTCCAATTCAGCTACAAAAATATTACCTCCTTCCTTTTCTTGCTGAAAGGAACTAGCTTCACAGAAGAAATATTCTTATTGGAAACATTTAATGTTACATGTCATCTCCTGGACACAAGCTTTACCTTATAAATTTACTTCAAATTTAGCAAATCATCTAATCTACTGGCAAGCTATACATTTAAACTAAAAATGAGTCCCATAGCCAAAGTGCTAATTAAGGAGACTTCTTTTGGAACCATTTATTATATATCGGTTAATATTCTTACAATCAAAGATGACTCCAAGATCCTTTAGCTAATCATTTCTCCTTACAAATGAGGCAACACAAGTAGCTGAGTTATTGAATGAAGTCTGAGATATGATTTTATAGGAAAATTCTGATGCACTAAGATTGTCTGTACAACCTAACACAAGCACCTAAACCTTCTCCAGAGAACTTAGTCATCTGTTCTTAGGAAGTTACACTCTTGTTTTGTTGCAATTCTCATCTATCAAAATATATTTTGAAATACTTCTGGGAAGCCTCAATGGTCAGATTATTGTCATGCAAGAAAATTGGTCCTATTTATTCACATCTGAAGCATATCTAAAAAACATTATCCCATTTTACCCATCATTTCTCACTTTGCTCTGAGTGACTGGTGAACATTTCTGAAAGTCAAATTTAACCCTAAAAAGAAAATCTGCCATTATTAAGTGCAGTCAAAAGAACATGGCAGATATCATGTACTCATCTTGTACAGCATTTGACCACTAGAAAGAATGTATGCAATGTGCTCGTTATTGAAACTGTCCTACCGATTTGGTTTGAAACTGTCTCATTGCTGTTTGTTTCTCAATAAAATTATGGGGAAAAAAAACTGCATTTAAAAAAAAAAAAAAAAAGAACATGGCAAAAGATAAAAATGGCAATCCAAAAATAAAAATGCTGAGCATATAGGCAAATGCAGTTTTCAATGAAAACTCCAAGTTGACCACTTTATGGAGATCACCCATTTGGCTGTAGTTACTGTAATATATTTGTTGAAAGTCATATAACTTTACATTTATACATTAAATAATCTCAATGTGGAGTATGTTGGAAAAACAAATGACTAGGAAAGGACTTCACACTAATCCGAGATTTTTTTATTCAGTTTCCTTAACAGTGCTAAACTTCTAAAACAGAGAATGTTCCAAACATTACAGAAACTTCATAAAGAAACATTGTGGAAACAAATGCTAATTGCAATCATAAAACCATGGTAGTTGGTTTTATTGAATTTTTTCAAATGAAAAGACTGAGCAGAAGGCAGTAACAAGAACTCAGTAATCAGTGTTACTGAGAGGCCAGATAAATTAGGCTTGTGTTCTAAAAGAACAGAGAGACTTAAAAATATTCAGCAAACAGCTGCTAGTGAACACTCCAACCAAGCAACTAAAACAATCCAATCCACTTGAGGGGAAGGACTGAAGACAGGTGGTACTGATCAGTCTAATCTGTCTTGATATTTCTGTGGTGTTGGTTTTTTTTTTTTTTTTTTTTTTTTTGTACTGCAAATAGAACTTAGGATTTGCCAGGCAGGCACTGTGCCACTGAGTTATGTCCCTTGCCCTCTGATAGTTCTTTAACAAGAGACATACCATCTACTTCAGGTTTCCTAACCCTTTGACAAAATCAAGACTGACCTTTTAATAAACTGACAGAATTTAGTCTTTTGTACAACATCTAGCTGTTGGTCTAAGAAAAGAAAGCTTTCTCTTAGACCTATATTTTCATGTAAGTGGTAACTTAACCAGTAAATCCTAGGCAGAATGTCAGGAAGTGTGGAGGTCTGTTTGGTTATGCTCTCCTTTGTTTTTCAAGGTTATACAATATTTAAAAGAATATCAAAATTATGAATGTGATCAAAACAAGAAAAGTCTAATAAACTGGCACAACAAAGAGAAACCTAAGGAGATATAAACAATAAATGTAATATGGTATCCTGGATAGAAAAAAGTAATAGGTACAGGTTAAGGAAACTTGAATACTTTAAGGACTTTACTTGGTAATAATGCACCATTAATTCTGGCAAATGTAGCATACTAATATAAGATCTCATTAAGAGAAAACAATGTACAGTGGTTCCTCACTTATCACAGAGATTACATTTCAGACATGTAAGATAAGTGAAAATCAGCAAAGTAGTGATGTTATATTTATTTTAGTATCTATATATCTTAAGGCTTTATAAACCTTTCCCACACTCTTATAAACCTTTTCCACACTTTTAAAAACACTCCTAATGTTCTTAATCATTTTCTAAACTCATAAATCTGAATGCAATTTTAACAACACACACACACACACACACATACACACACACACTGTATGGTACTGCAAAATCCCATGCTATAACAAAAAATGCAGGATAAATAATTTAGATTAGTATTTTTTGAAAACCTCCAAAAACAGTGAGTCTGCAAAAGTCAAACCACGAAATATCGAGGAACTACTGTAGATATAAAAAAACACTTTGTACTATTTTTTCAATTTCTCTATAACTTTAAAACCAATCATTTAAAATAAGTATTTAAAAATCCAAACCCACAAAAGTTGTTCAAGTCTTTACCAAAATTGATTTTTGGGAAAAGATTACTTTTATTTTTTAAAATTTTATTAGTACATCTTTTCAGTTCATAATGATTACCTTCCTCATGGGGAACTGGTACATGTATATAACACAGCTGAATTCTTTTCATGTCCCCTTGCCCTTTCCAGAGAAAAAGATTTAAAAAGTGAAACTATTTTCCTAAGTCTAGCACATGGTTCTTGAAATACACAAAGAAAAAGGTACTATTTTCCAAGAGGACCAAAACTGAATGTAAATCAGGATCCTTGGGTTTGGTCCTTTACATCTGGTAGACACTCATTTTCATCACCTTTCATCCATCTCAAAACATAATAACAGACAGCTGGGCATAGTAGCACCATGCCTATAATCCTACTACTCAGGAAGCTGAGGCAGAAGGATTAGAAATTCCAGGGCAGCATGTAACAGTTTAGCAAGACCTTGTCTCAAAATTTATAAAGGACTGGGGCTGTAGCCTGATGGTAGATCTCATGAGCACAAAGCCCTGGGTTCAATCCCTAGTACTGTAACTCCTAATAGAATCCTGAGAATTAGCCTACAGGAAGACAAAAATATAATTGAAGGGCTGGCCAGATAGCTCAGTGGATTAAAGCACCTGCTTAGGCAGACACAGGGGCCAGGGGTTCAATCCCGGCCTGCCTTCCAGCTCCACCCCCAGGGTGCAGAGATGTGGTGGCACGCTTGTAATCACAGTGCTTGGGAGGCTGAAAAACAGGAAGGATCACTACAAGATCTGTGTAGTGAGACCCTGCAGACCCTAAATACATTTTAAAAAATACAACTGAGGGTACAGATCACATCTGCAGTAAGAATCTACTTTCAGTCATAAAAAAAAAAGGGAGACTCCTATACAAAAATAAATTTTTAATCCCCAAAGAATGAAAGTATATAAATGCAAGTTAGTATCTTAATTCATAGGCTAGGAAAAAACTAAGAAGTTGGCTGAATATAAGTTTTTAAATCAAAGGGCTAATTACAAATACAAAAGAAATTTTTAAAAGTCTTAAGAACTTCAAATGTATGAAATGAATGAATAATATAGTCTAGCTAATTGAAGGTTGGAAAAAGTGGCCACAGTTTTCCACTTAACCCATGTTTTCATTTTAACAGGTTAAGATGTAAAGCTAAAAATCACCTATGTTAACTTTCAAACCAGTGAAGACTTTAAGCAGTATGCCTTTAATGAAGAAATAGTTGGATCAAATTTATGCCTTAAAATGACAAAATAAAATCTTGGCTTTGGCTGGATATGGTAGTGTATATCTATAATCCCAGCACTCTGAAAGGCTGAGGCAATAAGATTACAAGTTCAAGCTCAGCCTGGGCAACTCAGTGAGATCCTATTTGAAAAGCAAAAAAAGTAAGAAACGCTAGAAAAATAGCTCAATCCAAAGGCCTTGGGTTCAATTCCCAGGAACAACAACAAAAAAAATCTTTGAGTCTGGCATTCCAAACTGGAAAGATAATCAATATTAACTCACGACTAGGTAGAAAAGATCTTGAAAATGCCTTGTTTGTCCTGTTAGAAAAGAATCAACTTTTTTCTTTTTCTTTTTTTTTTTTTTTGAGACAGACTCTCACTATGTAGTTTAGCCAGGCCTTGAACTCACTATGTAGCTTAAGGTGGTCTCAAATTAGCAGTGATCTCCCTGCCTCAGCCTGGGATCACAGGCATGTGCCACCTTACAGCAGAAAGGTATCAGTTTTGAAGCTGTGATGAGACTAAAATAAAACTAATTTAATAGTAAAGCCACCATTGTCTTGAGTCCACTCATATGTACCTTTCAAATCAACCTGTGAAAAAAATGTTTGACTTCAATATCGACAGCTTTTGGCAAATTATAAATCCTTACATGCTGGTTCTCTACTCCCAAATATTTTATTTAATTGAAAATACAAGACCTGTGTTAAATCAGACTTACAGTCTCATAGGTGACACTAGAATTAATAGGGGTTAAGGTGGGAGTAGCTCAGTGGAAGAGTGCCTGCTTAAAACCCTAGGTTAGATTCTCAAAAGCACAACACACACAAAAAGCAATTAGTGGCAATATTTTGTAAGATATTTTTAAATGTACACTAATAAAAGCTCTTAGAGATCAGCATAGAAATAAGTGTACATGTGCAATCCCAGCTACTTGGGAGGCTGAGGTAGAACTGTTTAAGCCCAAGAGTTGGACACTTGCCTGGGCAACATAGTAAACCTCCATACCAAAAAAGACAAAAACAACCTGGGCATATGATGCATGCCTGTAATCTCAACATTTTGATGGGCAGGAAGATGGCAAGTTTGACTGCAGCCTGGGCAACTTAATGAGATCCTACCACAAAACACACACACATAATAAAAATGGGCTGGGGATACAGCTCAATGTGAAGACCCTGGATTCAATCCCAGTACTGGAGAGGAAGGAGAGAGAGGAGAGAGGAGTGAGGAGAGGGGAAAGAGAGAGAGAGAGGGAGAAGAGTGAAAGGGAAAGGGAGAGATGGAGAGACAGACAGACAGACAGAGATAGACTGGTTTTACTATTTTCAAATATATTTACAATTACAATTAGAATAAGCTTTAAAAAATTATATCAGGTAAAAAAAATTTAAATTTGTTTCTAAGTTTTAGCTAAATATACAAAACCTACAATTTATTATCATGACCATTTCAAAGTGCAATGGTCAGTAGCATTAAATACATCCACAATATATGTGAGGGCAACTTTTAGAATTTAAAAATAATTTTTAATACAACCATTCATATGCTGACCTGAAGAACAGTAAAGATCTTAACAGTCTGAAAGATTGTTTATTGTTACCCATCGAGTCAACTACAAAATACCAAAGGTAATTTATTCTTTTATAATAAAACTTTTTTTGTACAGCAGAATTTTGAAGTCCTTTTCCTTTGATGAAGAGATGTATAAAGGCTCTCTTATGGAAATCAGGATATGTGTAACTGCATGCTCAGGATTACTATGAAATCTATCACTAATCAAACTGATACGATGTTCCTTTCAAGTTAGCTGTCTCTTTAATCAAGTCCTCCACTGAAGGAATTTCCAATCACAAGTATAAATCTCTGCAGTAGTACTTCTTTACAGAGTTGTGTAACTGAATCTTTAGGAAAGAAAAGACACCCTTTTATTTCTAAACCTCTACTTCAAGTGCAAATTAAACAATTCAATTCATTAGTTGCCTTTTGGCAGTGTACTCACAGGTCTCACAAACGAGTTTTCAGAGACATATCTCAGGAGCTCATCAGCTGGCAGACCTAGTTAACAGGCCAACTCAACTATAGGGCACTTACTGGTTTCCTTCTTTACCTTTTTCTCTTTTGATATGTCACTAGATCACAGACACTTAAATCTTACTAATCCAAACTCTGGCTGCTCAGTGATATGGGACTCAACTAGGATCAATTTCAGACCTTATTCAATCTGCAACTATTTTTATTGTAAGTAAAAATGAAAAGAACTGTAACCACACTGGGTAATAGTAAATGCAGAGCCAGAAAAGCAAAAGCTTGTTTCCACTGCTCATTAATGACCTCTCCTTCCTTTTTCAAATCACTCTAATTTTAGAAGCCTTAGCATTCTGTACTGTATTCAATTCCGTCCTTAGCTCTTTTTTAGCTAGGAGGAAAGAAAACAAGTATAGCTCTGAATGACCTGGATGCAAGAAACTGACAGAAAATATTAAGTGCTTGTCTGGTAAGTGTACAGGCCTGAGTTCAATTTCCATCAAAAAATAAAAAATAAAATAATAATAAAGGTGTTTATAACAGTAGTTATAATAAATATGGTTCTTATAGTTTGTACCTGTCATCCAACTGCAGGCCTGAGACTTCAAATACACACACAAAAATTTAAATACACATAAATTTTGAGGCCCACATTAAATCCACTACCAGGGGTTACATGTTGATCCCTGCCTCGCCTGATTTCAGCAATGGAACCACATTTCTTAATCCCTTAGTATTTGAAGACTATATAAAGCTGCTTTAGGGGCACCTGTTTCCCACAACTCTGAGCTGCCAGGAAGTTAAGACAAGGGCATCTAGAGGCCTTAATGCTCAAACTGGAAAGCTTTAAGCTAACACCCTGATTAGAGATTAACTACTTCTCTGAAAACCTGAAGCATACTTTGAATGCTTCTCGACTTTCTCATTTCTATGTGTAGACGTCTCAGTGCTGTATAAATTAGTCATACTGTATGCTCTATTTTAGATGCAGTGTACAGTACATATATAGAATGGCCCCATAGCACTGGGAGCTGTGTATGGACCTATTTTGTATGGACCTATTTGCTGTGAGCAAGGTGGTAAACTCTGGTGGGTTCAATAGATGCTCTAATCTGATAATTAGAAATTCTCTCTCCTATTCCTGAGGATTTTCCTCGATGTAGGAGGGTGAGCATGGATGGGTTGAGGGAGTATGAGGTGGGCGGAGGATGGCTACCAAAACTACCCCGGGCTCGAAGGGTACCTGAGATGGCTCAGTTTTCCACCCATCCTGGGAGGTCCTCACCTCCAGCTTGTCGGTCAGCTCCTTGTGCATCTGCTCATACTGCCTGCTCATGTCCTGATTCCTCTCAAGCAGCGCCTTGCCCAGCCGGGCGGCCAGCACCAGATCTTTCTCTTTCTGCCTGATCACTGACAGCAACTCAGGGTCGTGGGCAGGTGGAGACTGCGGACCGGTGCCCTCGGCCGGAGGCCCGAGCTCGGCCTCAGGATGCTCCCCGGGATCGGACGGCCGCTCCCCGGCCGCCAGCAGCGCCAGCTCCTCTTCTAACGCCAGTTCCAGCTCCCCCGGGCCCCCGGGGAAGGAGACAAGGGCGGCGGCGGCAGGACCTCGGGCTGCGTCCCCGGCCGCAGCAGGCAGCTCCATGCAGCAGGCGCTGTCCGGCTCTGCGGGTGCTGAAGCGCGGCCGGCCAAGCCCAGGCAGAAGGCGGACATGGCCCGCGCGCGCGGAGCCCGCAGCGGTGCGGCCCGGCCG